TTTGTATTCCATCAAGAATTATTTCAGTGATCACGATTTTTCTAGGAAATTAAGGTTTAAGTCATGCGAAAACTGAAGCAAACAGCAAACTACAAACACGATATCAGAAAAACATGCAAGTATCGTCACAATCACCGTACTTCCAAAATTTTCATATATGATATATTGATTCCCGGAAACATGTGTTGTGTTATATTATGTACCTAAAATACAATATTCTTACAAAGAAGAAATATGTGACGTTGATTATGTTGAAGCTATACAACTTATATAGGTTACACAGAATTTTCATATTCAGACTCAAAGGCTGCAAAATACATTTTTCTACACATCAACGAATATAATATTGGAAGCTGCTGGTAACTTATTCAAAATCACAATTTAGAAATGTTTATGTCATGTTGAATTATTAAGATATAGACATATTATTTGTTCCCATACCCTGATTTGAAATGAAGCATTCAACAATAGACTTTATTTATGCCATACATAAGCCTTACTGTCATTAATATAATATATAGTCTCTATTCTCATGAATTACGAAATACTATATAAGACTATATTGTCCCGTGTTGTTTTTTGAATCTGTATTCTGTAAAACTAATCTCATTTGATATCATGACCAGATTACCAGATTATCAACATTTTACGGTAAAAGCGATGTGAGATTGTTATTGATGAGTCACATGAGTCACAATTAGAGATCTAGATTTTACCGATCTATAGATGATAAAAGTAGCTTCACATGATAATAGATAGATAGTATCCTATAATTATTAATAAAGACTGATATTTTACCAATTGTTCTCTATGTACTTTTGTTGTAGTACTGACAGACAATTCCAGAAATATATTTTGTAATAAAATCTTTTAATTTACCCTATATTTTATTTTTGTTTATACAAACTATTCCAGTTAAGATAACAACATGTGAACTATAAGGGAGTAAATCATATTAATCATGCATTATAAGCCACAATTATACATTATTAGTCATCATTAAGCTAACTCATATTATTAGATTAGATGTAATAAATGTGACTCATACAAGATCTTGATTTTTTTTATGAATCATAATAAATTATTATTAGTCACATAAGATTTTAAAAGTATATATATACCCTTAAATTTTCTCAAGGAAAAATCAAATTTTCAAATTTTTCAATCAAATATTAAATCCAAATTTTCTATCAAATATTTTTCAAACACAAGTTTCAATCAAATATTAAATCTGAATTATCTATACAAATATTTTTTCAAACAAGTTTCAAAAATGTCTTATCAATTGTGTCCTAACTTTATCAATACTGTTCTCAATGAAATTCCCCTCAACAAATGCTACCATCAACCAACTGAATCAACCTTCCAATATCTACCATCATTTGCCATATATATTTACATTCTTTTTATTATTTTACTCATGTCTACTGATATTATCAAGCATATAATTATCCTAATTCTTCTTTCATTAAAACTCTCTTGTGCTGTTACAACCTTCCTTCTTACCCGACTTCTTTCATTTCCCAATGTATTACATTCTTTTGAACATTTATTATTCTCTCTATTATTATCACTTCTTCTTTATTTATTATCTAT